ATGATTATAGACTTTACACCACTTTACAGAAATGATTCATGTAAATTGTCTATAGTAATTTAGATATCTTACATTGAGTCATGTTTGCTTTATATAATGATACCCTTATTTTAACCAATTTTTCAGAATAATTAACAAATACCTAGTTCTAGTTGTATTAAAGAGGAGGGCTTCCTTCTACTAGATTTTTAATAAATGTTCACAGAAATACAAACATATTCCCTTAATCACTTTTGCAAAGTTACTTTATTTACCAACCCCCAGTCCATTCTTTTCCATATTTTTCATGAATAAATGTATTTCCATAAACTTGGTAGTTAGTAGACCGTAACCTTAATCATTGTGAGTGTCATCATTACACCCACAACAGCTACTGAATTGCCCTTTTCAAAGATGACTCATTGTGGCATAAATTCCCATCAAATAGAACAGAACCCCAGACAAATAGGAGTTTTGCTATTGATTGTTGTCTGAGGTGAGAGCAATGATGATGATTGTGATTGATGTTGATAATGAAATCACATTGAATCTAGCCATTTCCAATTTGTGTGGATCCAATTTTCTGAGCCTGTTTTTCAAATCTTTTCCTGAAGCTATTCTTTATAAATGGAATAAATATATTATCCTCTTTTATTCACTAACTTCTATCACCCTTTAAATTCTTTTGTCAAATCAGCTCTCAGAGTTAGGCAGCAGCCCAGACATTTAATTCTTCTCCTGTCTCCTCTCAAATGTCCAGAACTAATGACACATGGGTAAAGATTATATCGATTCCAGAAAGTTGGAATGAGCACTATCCACATGACAAAAATCTCAGGGACGAGGTGAAAAAAACGTAGAGGGGTGACAGACAAAAGCCCTTCTTGAGAGAGTACAATGTGTCTCAGACATCAACAGAAGGAGAGACATTGTCACTTATCCCAATACAACCAACAAGAGCTAAGGTGAAGGTGATATAAGGACTACTGGTATACCAAAGGCACAATTTGAATTCTCTCTTGTCTCTGAGAACTGGTAGCATAAAGTCCTAACACTGTATTCAACACACCCATTGAGGTTTCCTTGTATGGTGACCACACCAATTAGATAATCACCTGCTTATACATGGTAAGGGCCTATGAATTATTTCCATTTTAAGTAATTACACCTAAGAGAACAATAAATTTTGGAATAGTAGAAAGAGGGGTTTCTCTAACCATAATCTGCAAATTCTGTTTACCTATAGCTTGAGCTTCTTTGAGCTTCTCCTAGAAATGGAAGATAAAGCACCTGATTTCTGTCAGAAACCAGTTCAGAAGCTAGGTTGAGGGTTAATAATGAGCCAGTAAAATATTTTCTTTGCAAATATAAGTTTAAAAATACCACAAGGCCCATCTAGTTCAAAGACAGGAATGGACTTTGCACATTCATATTAACTACCTCCTTCTGTAATATTGATTTGTGTTTCCAACTAAATTTAAAAGGACCTTATATTTATGACATTAGAATAACCAGTTGTGACGAGGAGAAAATATGTGACCACAAGTGATTCATTATAGCTAAATCTGACATCATTGGGAACAGTAATATGTTTATGGTGGGCATTGTTGGTTGCCATGCCCACTTCTTTCTAGCTCCACAGACAGGCCCCGATTCCTGTGCTCTTTAATGATAAGGAACAAGGAAGTGTGGTCAGAGCACCAATAGCTTCTGTACACACGCACACAAACACATTCTCTTTGGGAAAGGAGATAAAAACCTCCAACGAGCAACTTCAATGAGCTTCCAATTGAAGTTTTTCTACCTAGAATCACCACAGCAACCTTCAAGTTGGTACATCTTGCCATAAACCTGTCAATTCCTCCAAATATGTATGTGAAAAAAACAATCACAAAAAAGTGAATAACATTTCCTTTTCCTGTATTCAGCTAGTTTTATCCATTTTTTGAGTTTTCAAATATTTTTTTTTTTTTATTTTATTGTACCAAGGTAAAATCACGTTCTGCTTCAAAATCCAAGAGGCATTTTTTAAAGATACAACTGAAAGGAAGAGAGAAGACAAGAGGCTCAGAGATAAATCACCCTTTCTTCTTTAAATACTATTAAAAAAAAAAAAAACATGGATGGGTATGCATACATACAAAATTGCTAGAATGGTGGAAGGAAGTCATAGGAGGCCAAGGCCATAAACACAGAGCAGAGTAGACTGGCTGCCAAGGTCACCTCTATGAAGGGCTGCAACAAGGTCCTCTCGAAGAAGCTAGGAGCTGCTTCTCTTTCCTCCATCCTGGGGCTGGGCCCATGTGAGGCATGTGACTGTGGGGACCACTTTCAGGGCCAAGCCAGGCTCAGTACAGAACCCACAGAGCAGAACTTCTTCTGAAACCTGGCTGGAGTTTCATGCCCTCCAGCTCACACTGGAGAACTTGGCTCTGAGTCCGATGAGGCCCTGCTGGGCAGGGGCAGGCCAAGGAGGAGCAGACTGATTGGACTGGTGATCACTGCCAAAAAACTAAACTTGGACAAGCCCCTAAGTCCATTAATGATAAGTGAAATGCAGAGGGCCAATGAACATGTTAAAAGACAGCACAAGTGAACATGTTAAAAGACAAGAATATGGATTCTTCAACAAGGAAATTGAGGGAGATGGGGAAGGAACTGGTATAGACCTACAAAGCCTATTAACCAAATGCACTGTGGGTCTTTAGATCTTAATTAGAACAAAGTAACTACAAAGGGACTTTTATGAGACAATTAAGAAAATTTGAACACTGACCTGACTTTAAAAGATAATTCAAAAATTAGTTTTTAGATGTGATAGTGTGGAGCGTGGCCACAGTGTTTGGACAGGTTCAAGCCTCTGACTAATGAAAGGGCACAGTCCTCTCATGGCCACATGCAAGTCCAAGCACAATTTTAGCCAACAGCTATAGTTGTAAGCTTGAACCTATGGTCCGAACAGGTGGCCCCACGTGCCTGAGTGATGTGGGCTTGATAGAGTTCAGGTGCATGTAGTTGAGTAGGATCGAAACCGATGAGAATGTTGTAAACATCTTGACCACGCCCTACTTTGCCTCGTGGAAACTGGCTATAAAATAAAGACTCGGCTTTCAAGCTATGGCACTGTCACTAGCTCTCCATCAGAGAGGAAAGAGTCCCACCCAGGTCCAGCTTTTATTCTCTTGTCTGTCTTTTCTCAATTCTTCACCGCCCCCTCTCAGGCTCACCAAACTTGGCTGAGCTGGCTCAGCACATAAGGCGCCCAATGTGAGGCTGGGTATGCCATGGCCATGCCAGCTTGGCACATGATAGTGATATTGTTATGTTTTTAATCCTATCTCTTAGCAATACATACAAAATATTTATAAGTGGACTTATATAATTTTTGCATTTGCTTTAAGTTAGTACTTGTATAGGTATAATAATGGTTTTCTGATGATGTTGAAAATCCCTTTTTCTTAGAGATACAAGCCTAACATTTATATAAGAAGTTATATGATCCTAGAATTTTCTTTAAAATAATATGGTTGGGAGATATAGGAAAAAAGTGTTGAGGAAAGGAACATAGACAAAAGAGAATAGCAATATATTTATCATTGATAAAGCTGTATATTGGATTGATTAGACTATTATATATATACATATATATATTAACTAACATATATATATATACACTCAAATCTTATAATAAAAAAGAATACAGATATACTAAATAGTGTAAAAAAGAATGAAGGGAAAGATCTCTAAAATTTAATTTCCTCTTAAGAATGCAAATTAACTGAAATTCTTTTTTAAATAAAAAGACTTGAAATTAAGAGAATATCCTAAATTTGGAGGCTGTTCTAAATTTACCTTCTCCCGCCTTTAAGATAACTAAATATATTTTTATCCTCTTAATCCAATATTATTTTTATGTACCTTCCTTTTGCTATATCAATCAATAATTTTAAAAACTTTGCACCCCATCACAGATTATTATCTCTCCAAATAGACACTCATACTTTGAACTAGAAGCACAAATTCTCCTTTGTTCATCTCCTGGTGCAGCATTCGACATATTTTAGGTAATAATAAATATTTGAAAAATGGATGACTGAAAAAAATTAATGAGTGCCTACATCTATTTAGAGAGAAAGAGGGGAAAATATTTAAAGAAGAAAATCAAATTTGATGTATATAAGAGAAATGAATAAACATTATATGAGGATCATAAATGTACCATAAAATATTTTTGGTTTCGTCAAGTCCTGAATATATATAAATATTCACTAATATATATAACGAGACACTAGAAATGACAGAGAACACTTGGGGATATGAATAAAGATCAGGTGAGATATTAATGAGACCTATTTATTTTACCATCCTGCATAATAGTAACTGGAAATGCCTCCATGTCTAAATGAGGACCCTAAGAGAGGAAATGAGGTAGTATTGAGGGTGACTTTAACGGTAAAGTCTTTTTGAAATTTCAGTTTTGTAGATCCAGTGCATTCTCAAGGCAAAGTAAACTTGCTCTGTAGCTGACCCAGAGATTAGAGCTGCGCCTCTGGCAGGGTGTTTCGTTCTGCCCAGTGAATGGAAAGCACTGCCCCGGAGGCAGTATAACTTAGTCTGTGCTCTCTCCAATGTGAACAGGAGTTAGCCAAGAGCCTATTCCCTGAAGCACAGTTTAGAACACTGTCCCACACATCCTAATCCATAAAGCTGCTGTCAAGCACTTGCCCAGGAAGTCGTCTCAGAGCCAGAGCAGTCTTGGGAAGTTTGCCTTTGGCGCCTCTACTTCCCAGCTCCTTAAGCGCCCCACTGTCATCCCTGCCCAGCCACTCCTTGCATCACCCGCCCCAACCTCTCAGACTATGTATCCTCGATCCCCATTCTCATCCCCATCCCCATCCCTATCCCCATCTCCATCCCTATCCCCATCCCCATCCCAAGTTACCATGTGTCAACCCACCTAACACGCATCTTTCATAACCATCTTTAAAATGCACCTTCTGTACTGTACATAGACTGCTGATTTCTGGAATAACACACTTTCCTTTTATCGTCTCTTCTTTTTCTTCTTCTTTACTTTGACACTTCAGCCTGGCTATCTAACTCACACTCGTGTTAATAGGATCCCAAGGTGCACACATTCAGCATCAGAAGGAAGTACTAGCTGAAGTGCTTTCAATGAGGCATCAGACCTTCGATCATGATTATCAGGTCCCCAAGGGAAAGTCCCTTAATCATGCCAGCCCATTATCTTTATGAAGAAGTTCTGGGCTTCGTTACCTTCAAACAAGCTCTGAAAAATGGGCTTTGGCTCCTAATGTCAGTAAATGTCAAATTGTTCCCTTTCTCCTAATCTTAGCTACATGAGGATGATTTCATTAGGAAACACACCTTGGGCTTTTCAGTGAAGATTCTTTTGCACTTAATTTCCACGGATAGCTGTGTTTCTTTATGATACCAAACCACATCTATAGCAAAAAATAGAGAGAAGAGATAACATATGTAAAACAATAAAAATCTGTTAGCCAATAAACTAGTACAAAATGATCTTAAGGCAAATTTTAATGAGGCTTTCTGATGTGTTTAAAGAAGGAAGAATAGAAAAAGGGAGAGAAGGTAGGAAGGGAGAAAAACATAGAGGGAGGGAGGGGGGCAGGCAGGGAGAAATTAATGACAAAGGGAAAAGGTTAATTTGTTAGACAAACATGTATATATATATATATATATACAGGCATATCTCTGAGATATTGGGGTTTGTTTGCAGACCACCGCCAATAGAGTGAGTATCGCAATAAAGAGAGTAACACAGTTTTTTGTTTTCCAGTGCACATAAGAGTCATGTTTACACTATACTATAGTCTATTAAGTGTGCAATAACATGGTGGCTAAAAAATCAATGTACATACCTTAATTTAAAATGCTTTATTGCTAAAAATGCTAACCACCATCCGCTGAGCCTTCAGCAAGCCGTCACCTTTTCTCAAGTGGAGAAGAGAAGAATTGAAAAGTTCAGGTCTTGCTCTGGGTTAGGGTTTGGCTGAAGGGGATGGTGTGGCTGATTTGCTCTTCTATCCAGACCTCTAACACTTTCTCCAGACCAGCAGCAGGGCTGTTTCAGGTTGTTATCGCTCGTGTGCTCACTGGAGTAGCACTTTTAATTTCCTATGAGGACCTTTCCTTTGCATTCACAGCTTAGCTGTTTGGCTCAAGAGCCGTGAGCCTGGCTTGGCGTCCAACATGCCTTCCTCACTAAGCTTAATCATTTCTAGCTTTTGATTTAAATTGAAAGACTTGGGGCTCTTCCTTTCACTGGAGCACTTAGAGGCCATTGTAGAGTTTTTAATTGGCCTAATTTCAATATTGTTGTGTCTCAGGGAATAGGGAGGCCCAGGAGAGGGGGAGAATTGGGAAACGGCCCATCAGTGGAACAGTCAGAACATACACATTTATTAAAATCACCATCCTATATGGGCATGGTTCGTGGTGACCCAAAACAATTACAACAGTAGCATCAAAGACGACTGATCACAGATCACCATAACAAATATAATAATAACAAAAAAGTTTGAAATATTGCATGACGTACTAAAATATGACACAAAGTGAGCAAATGATTGTGGAAAGACGGTGCCCATAGATTGCTTGACGTAGGGTTCCCACAAAACTTCAATTCAAAAAAAATGTAATATCTGCAGAGTACAATAAAACAAGCACAATCAAACAAGTTATCCTGTATTATTTATTACTTTAACAAACACAAAGGGACTTACTTTGTGTACTTTAAGAATATTAACTTGCCCTGACCGGTTTGGCTTAGTGGATAGAGTGTTGGCCTGCGGACTGAAGGGTACCAGATTCGGTTCCAGTCAGGGGCATGTGCCTTGGTTGCGGGCACATCCCCAGTGCGGGGAGTGCAGGAGGCAGCTGATCAATGTTTCTCTCTCATCGATGTTTCTGGCTCTCTATCCCTCTCCCTTCCTCTCTGTGGAAAATCAATTAAAATATATTTTTTTAAAAAAAGAATATTAGCTCATAGAATGCTGGTAAGAACTAGAATAGGTAGGAACTTCTATTATCCTAATTTTACAGGTGAATAAACTGAGCCACATAGCGAATAAAAGTTTGTGTACTTTGTTCAAGGTCACACAGCTATCAAATGGTAGAACATGTACTTAAACATAGGCAGTTCATAAAAAGCAAATCACTTTATCATATAACCAAAAATACTGAATAAATACATTATTGAAGCTTATTATCTTGAGAAAAAAACTATAAGCAACAAAGACAACATCCTTCTAATAAAAATTTTGCAATATTAAGCAGATGATTTGTTTTTGTCATAGTCTGACATTTTAAAAAAATCACCAATAAATTTACCAATGCCATTTTTCAGCTACTTTAACTCCTAATCACTGTTAACTGGTATCTATAGTAATCCTTAGATCTTTAAACTTTTATTTTAATTCATAAGAATAACATTCTGTTATAAGTAAAGAAATGGAAATTATTTTTATAAAAGAGAAAACAGAAAAAAAGAAAGAAAAAGTACTTTTGCATTTGTTTCAGTGTCCAATAACCACTTTAGAAACATTTCAAAAAGTTTTCATGTTTCAATTTTTGGTAATCTTTGATAAAACAATAATTTTGTTGCCACTTTATTGTGTAGTTCCTATGCCTTTATTCTAATGGTATTTTCACCCAATGAAATTAATTGGCTTGGATTACAAAATGCCAGCACTTACAACAACTGTGCTCAGCCTTTGAACATTTTAATCTCTAACTACTCTTTCCATTGGCTAACTAAAAAGTATAAGCTATAGACAATTCCACTCAAAACTACCAAAGATCAGAGCACTTCCAAGTGGCTCTAAGAATATTGACAAACTACACTAGATGAAGCAAAAATACTCCTAAATAATGTTAGATCACCTCAAAAATGTTGGCCAAGATAGCTTATGTGAGAAACATGATTTGAAAATCAATTTGGGCGTACTGCATAAGTGATGCTAACAAAGATTTCCTCAGACATTCTGCCGAGGATATCAAAGGTTTGTAATATCAACTATTGTAAGTTGACAGGAGATTCTGAAAGAATCCTCTGGCTAAAAGGTTGGCAGAGGTTATAGGAAGTACCAGCAAGTAACAAATTGGTCATAGAGGCCCTTGTGTACTATAATAATCCACATGTCTTGACAATAAGTGTATAAAAAATATTATTTAATGAAACGAGAGTCTACTGTTCACAGAGTAGACTTCACAGGGATAGTGACCTATTGTACTTTCTTTATAAGAGTTATGGTTATATCCACCTTGGCCTTGGATCAGCCTGGCCAACCAGAAGCGAAGCAGGGAAGGCATGTATATATTAATACAAAATCATTTCCTCCATATAAATATGTTCACATATTTAAGACATTTCATGCATTAATGCCCAGAACATTTAGTATCAATTTACAGACAAAATGAAATTTTATCCTAAAGCACTCTTTTTCATTTAATACTGATGGCAGCTGGTCTTTAAATGTGTCTGTCTTCAATGGTTATGAGCAATGCCTTTGACACCTAATTCACAGGGTCCCTTAGAAGGACAAATGAGCTGTGCTATAAAATACCTGCTGGTGGTGCTTCTGCCTAAATCACCACACGCCTTCATTAAATTGATCCCTTTATTTTTGAAGTTGATTCTCCCTTTGCCTAAGATGTGAGACTAGATTTGCTGTTCCTGGGTGCTCTGTACTTTACAATCTGTGTCGATAATGATGTCGCTGAGATGAGTCTGTCATTCCCCAGCTTCCTCACAATAATCAAAGAAAACCCAAGCCGCATCTACCAGACACTGGAGCAGCATCACCGACATCCCCTGGCAGGATGCTGCCTTCCAGAAGGTGAGGGGAGCTGGGGGCCAAATCAGAGTCACACAGACAGCTAAGAATCTTCCTCACAAAGCGGTGTCATAATGAAAACACTGGTTCTTTCCATAGCTCCCCATAAAATGTGAGCTGCATGAGGTAAACAGGTTGAGAAACATAATGAAAAGTATATACTATAGATCTATTTCCTATAAGCCTATTTGTTGATTAAAATAGAGAGATGAACTGTCAAGCTTTTCATTATTTTTCATATAGCCATGATATATTCTTATATGTTTATGTAGCAGAAATAAAATTGCAGTATCTCCTGGGTCAGGAGTTATTTCAAGTTTCTTTGGAAGAATATTCGCCATTAAGTAGCACATTCCTAAATCACCAAGATACCTTTCCTCTTCTCTAAAAACCTGATCTCACAAACATCTTGGTAACGCCATTTAGACCACTGCCACTAAGCAAAGCCCAGCCACAAATGTGACGTATTTGTACTGAGAAAATACATTTTGCAGAATTTTATAATGAAGCACTACGATATGACGAAATATTTTCAAGAAAAATGGTTTTTTATTTGTATTTATTATATTGTGTTAATGTATTCAACCGTTAGCTGCCTAAATAATCTGTTAGCGTTCATGAACACTAAGGAGATTTATTTCCTTCTTATGCTTCTTAGTCTTAAAAAAAACAACAACTCAACAAATCATTTATTTATTTTGAAATCACTACTAAATTTTTAAGATAGCTATTTAATTTCCAATAAATCTCTTGCTAAAAAACAAAATCCCGTCTACTGCTAAATAATTGAATAAACAAAAGCAAAGAGCATGCTGTAATTTGTATTGCTATTATAGTTAACAGAAAGCAAACATAGTATTCCATATATCACTTTCCAGCACAAACATTTTAGAATCGTGTTACATTTCTTGGGGCAAAGTGCTACTAGGAAATCAGCTCTTATACCTGCCTCTATGTCTATCTATAGGCACTGGGAAATTGACAGTGTTTCTCAGCACCTTTTTAAATATTTTTGTCCTTCTAACGTAAGAACAAAAGTCCTGATATATGTCAATAAAAATAATAACAACAATAGGTATCGCAGAAATAAACAGACCACTCAAAAATGTCTTTTTAAAGACATGAGTGTTTTGAATTTACATCAAGCAGATTGATTGATTAATTGGCAATGTTCATATCTTCTTAACAAGCTTGCTCTGAACATAGAATTCTTTTAGCAAAAAAAAAAATAAACAAACAACAACCAAAAAACACACAAAACAAAACAGGAATAGGCATTGACTCCCTCTCATTAATGAGAGCTCTGTAGTCTGAGAAAATGTCCTGCCGGGAGACAGGGGATGACACCTTGGCTGTAGACGACATAAAAAAAAGTGCAGCCAAAGATGGATGCTAAGAAATCCTCCCTGGGAGTTGGAGGCAGCTGTGGCGTTCTGTGGCCCAGAGGGTCTGGCTTCGCTCCTACTGCAGAACCAGAGAAACCAACTTTCTTTACATTTTGAAAAGAGATAGCACTCACACTGACACCAGGGACATTATTTGAACCCAACGTTTATTTTAAATAAATCTATATGGTTAAACAAAACGGTCTGCCTGAAGTTAGGAGGCTGAGATGTGGCCCTGGAGAGGGTGCAGAAGAGCACGTGGGGTCTTGACCCACAGTCTCCTTTGGATGAAGGGTTGCCCGTGAACACAGAGCCTCCAAGGTCCCCTCGGCCCTGTTATGCAATCCAGAATCCAGCCTGCAGAGCCAAAAGAGGCTGCGAGGAAATGAGGGCATAGTGGTTCTGCAGTTAACAGAAGAGAGCATTTCATTAAATTGTACCACAGAATGCAGATTTGGCTTAGCATTCAAAGGATTAGGTAACAAATAATTGGAAGCAAATGTGTGGGATTTTATATATTTTGTTCCTTAAAGCTTATTTTTACCATGGAAACATTTTCCTCACTTGATGTAAAATATATTAAATAAATCTGGAAATTGGAAAGATCCTACTTTACCATTCAACGGTGAACTCAGAAGTTTCCAGGAAATGGCTACAGAGTCTACAAATGTCCCTCCATTCCCAAGCTCCTGAGATGAAATGTCAACATGTCATGATTAGAAGGAAATAGTCACACTGAAGATGCTAAGAAACTCTGGCATCTTCATTCCATATAGCAAGTTTTGGAAAATGAGATATTTTCTACCAAATCAGCTCCAATTTATTTTCTGCCTTTTGTGGGATACTGCAAACCTAGCTAGCAAATTAGTTTTGTTACTATCGTGTAACACTATACCCTTTTACACCCAACCTCACACCAAGACTTTTTCCTGGTTTGCAGTGTTTTCAGTGTTTGCATGAGAAAAAGCCTTTACAAAGTGATTGGACATATAGGGCTACTCTACAAAGCATCTGAGTTAGAGGACATTTAGAAAGAAATGCTAGCTTTCACACTCACCGTCCACCCTAGCCCTGAGGGCAGGGACCCTCAGTAGGAAGATGCTGGGCATTTGCTGCTATGGTGGCATGTCCCAATCACTGGCTGGGGTTAAGGAGACCACATGTTCAAACAGCATTGCTCTGTAATAAGGACTAATTGGAACAATATGAAAACACAATGGGTCCTGAGGGTCTGTGGGAAGAGGTAGGGCTTATGAAAATTTTATAAGCAATACAAGAACTCTATGCCTATTAAAGTCCCACCCTTCCCCTAACTTCCTCTTCCCTTAACTTCCTCTTTCTTTAGTGAAATACCTCTTCATCTTGGCTCCCCAGGCTTGCCGTGTCTGCTCATGTTGGGTTGCAATCCTTTCTCTGTCTGGAATAAATCCTTTTTGGTGAAGAAACACCTAGTTGATATTCAGTTGACACTAGAACTTCTGTCTTGCACCCTCATTCACATTGAACCACTTTTCCTGATGGGAGTGTGCCATCCCCCAGGTCTCGGTGTTACAAACAAACAAACAGGAGGAGGATGGGAAATAGATCCCAGGGATGGGCAAGGAAAGTGTTTTGGAAACCAACGAAGGGGTCATGTATTAGAGGTGGAAAGAGCGGGTCATGGGCTGTATTGGCTGTTCAACCAGAAAAAATGGCTTGGAGGAGGCAGGCTTTGACAAACAGGGGTGTGAAAAGTGAAGGCAAGTTCTGGTGATGCTTATTCTGCCTTCTTATCACAGTTCCACTTCTAGGTGGTTTTTCTTATTTTCTTCCTGGAAAGGGCATTCAGTTTCTGACACATATTTAACACCCTCTCCTCTTCCATATCCGCTTCGGAAATCCTTCTGAAGCCATCAAATAGTCTTTTTTCTTTAAAGTGCCTCTTAGGAGGTTTTTTATGATAAAATGTTACTCTCTAAAACAGCTACAGGAAGCACCCCACATTCTCATGGACAGCACTCAGGATTACGGCTGTCCACTGGCACTGCCTTGATTATTTGTTAAGCCCTTGAGGCGAGAACATATCAGTATTTGACAGCACAGCTATGTTCTTGATATTATATAAAAATAACAATTGTAGTAGCTTTATCTTTTTTTATTATCTCTCCCCCCCCCCCCCAGCTTTATTGAGATATAATTGACACAAAGGCCTTCAGATTCTTACACCACAGAATTCTGTGCCTGAAATGGCTGAGGGATAAATAATTTAATCCCCAAAGGACAAATATTGATAATTTTATAGAGAAAGTTTAAATCAGTCTCTTAGTTTGAATTTTCTAAAACAGAGAAAAGAGCTAGGTTGCAGGTAGTGGATAAGAAACAATGGAACAGGAGAAGCCAGATAAAGAAAGAGATGAGTCCAGTAAAGTGTTCATGGTTAAGGCTACAGCTGTGAGATGCCTCCTAGTATTTACCAGGTAGGCTGGGCGGACAGGACATTTACCCACCAACTGCCTTCCCCCAGGGCCTGAGGCTGTCTCTGGGAGCATGAACTCATCTGCATTTCTCAGCTGTGTCTGTATATGGGTTGAAAAGAGCATCTGTTTCTTAATAACAAAACCAAACAAAATAAGAACACACAAAAAGGCCTGAAAAAGAAAAACAGATAGACAGAGGGCGATTGAGGTGGAATGCACTGTGTGTGTGCAGACTGTCCACCAGCTGCAGATAAAATCAGAAATGCTTTCCTTTACCCTCACAGGGCTCAGAACTGCATATGCTCAATGGTAAACTTTGTCACAGACTCTTCAACGTGGTGGTCAGCACAGTCTCTAGTGAATACACAATAAGCAGTGGAACAAGCTACAGTCCCCACTGCTGCAGCCAGTACCGAAGGCAACCAACCATGGGTTTATCATCTTCCCCTCTGTTACATAGCTGAGAACTCAGAATTGTGCAGTTTTAATTTGTTTTAACCCTGTCTGATTCCTTCTACATTGGTGCCAGTTGCTTTGGCAAAGGGCACTTTGCAACACGGTCCTAATTGGTTGAATGAAATAGTCATGGTTATATGGACAATTTTAAATATCTTAATCACATTTCTCAATGCACACCTTGATTTTGTTGTAAGGAGAGAAATCTTAAATTTTCATCAATTCTTTTGTGCATCTGTATATAGAGATGGTCTAATTTAAAGATATATGTATCACTCCTATCACACTATTATTTAGATAATTATTTACATTTAACTAATAATTTCCCACAAATAAATGTTAATGTTTTCTATACCAGGAATTTGAGCAACATAAGACCATATTTCTAAACTTAAAATAAGGAGAAATTTGGCACCTAATGAAAATCAAGAATACTAAAGATGCATAGATTATTTAATTTTACAGTATGTTTCCTGGGTACATGCAGAATTCTCCATTCTTGTTTGTGTGAGCTCTTTAATTCTATTGTATAAGTATTTCATAAAGTGAGAGAATGGAATAGTTAATAGGATTTTTAGAACTCAGAGTAGTGCAACCACTTTCTGGGCTTCATACCTAGTTTCATTCTTGAGTGTTTTTCATTATTCTATATTTCATTACTTAAAAATTTAGCAACCATCTGCAGCTGACTAATGTCACTATTTGTATTTAAATCACAGCATTGTTTTAGAGGGAATTCCTGTAGGACTGCCAATTCCAGCTCTCTGATGTGGGCTGTAAATACAGTTCTTCAGCTCTAAGTATGCCCTACCACTTTCTCTTTTAAGGATAAATATTCAAAAAATTGCATTGGAAGTGGCGGTAGGGATAATTAAAAGAAATAATAAGGCGATTTTGGCTAAATATATGGGAGTCGTAAAACAATTTAATTAGCTGTAGATAATTGAATAAGCCAGCAGATCAGAGGGAATAAGAAACAACTTGGTAGAGAAGCCATAATGAACTATCAGGAAAGATCTGGAGGTCACAAGGGACCACTAGCTTCCACATACCAATAGGGTTACATATTTTATTAAATTGCTGCATGAAATAGAAGAGTAAGAAAAATGAAATCTGGGGACTAAGAATCATAAAACATATTAAAACCTGTCAAAGATCTACACTAAAATAGTGTCTGTGTACAGATGGTAAGTTCTATCAAATCTCAGGCAATAGATAATTCTGTTTCTAGTTAATAATTCTGACTTTAGTTAATGTGCTCCAGAGTATAGAAATGATTTAAAGCTTCCAAATTTATTTAGTATATTGATATTAAAATCCGACAAAGATAGACCAAGAAAAAATTAGACCAACTGCCCTGGCTGGGTGGCTCAGTTGGTTGGAGCATCATCCCATACACCAAAGGGTTTTGGGTTTGATTCCTGGTCAGGGCACATACCCACATTATGGGTTTGACCCCCAGTCAGGGCATATTTGGGAGGTATGTCTCTCCCTCACTCTCTCTCTAAATATCAATAAAATCATATCCTCAGGTGGGGATTAATAAATATATGAACAACTTTTTTTTTATAATATGGGTGCAAAAATTCTAAATAAAGTATTGGTGGGTTAAGATATAAATATTTAAACTGATTCAATTTGGAAACAGCATTTTCAATTTGTACCCTTTCTTTGTTCTTTTAAAATGATGGATTATAAACATGTTTCAGCACGGACTGAAAGAAACCGAAGCAAACCCTTGCTCTTTTTACAGAAAGAGGAAGTCATTTTTAGGTTGCTCAAAACTCAGGCAGTAGGATTAATAGATCATAAATTCCTGCAGGCTGGCAGTGTCCAGAGAGAAATAAATTCAAGCTGTGTCTACAGAGACACGACCATTGACCTGATGTTTTCAGCTTGCAAATGTTCTGAAGTCCCAAGAGAGACATGGAAATAGCTGAGAGCCATTGGCTCAGAAAAGATGATGGTTAGTGGGGACCTGACTATACCTGTGTGACAATCAGTCTGTGGTGCTTCCTTAAACACTGGAACCTTGACAAATGCCTGGAGGATGTGTGGTGAGCCTTCAAGTAGTCACAAGCCTGGCAGGACGATGGCCCAGAGTCAGAATGAAAACATTTATAGATTATAAACAAAATGACACTGGAGTTTATGAACTTAGTTTAGATCTATGCATTAGTTTAAAAAAAGTCTAGCTATGATTAGAAGTGTAATATAGCCCACTAGTCTAATTTTTATTGTAAGACCAACATTTGGAAATAAATTAACATAGCTCTTCATATTAGTATTTTAAAGGGGGATACTATTATAATTACCCAGGAAATGTACAAAAAGACATTGATAAAAGTTACCTTTCATTTATTATTAAAAATAAAATATTTTTTCTACAAATGGCAGGATATCATTTTATGATGATCAAAAAACCCATCAGCTACAACCATATTTAATAAGGTAATACTAGGGACATACTCATTATGATGATAATAAGACATCTACCATCATTGATTTTTTTCTCTTTGCAAATTTTATGCAATATAAAGTAAGAAGAATAAACAAAAAGTATAAATATTGAAAAGTAAGAACCAAAATTGCTACTATTATTTTCAGGTGGTATACACTACTTAGAAAATTTATGAGATTAAACTGTAAAACTGTTAAAAATTAAAGAGAGTTAGAACAGTGGCCATATATAGATAATGAATTTGAAAAAGAAATTATTTTTAATGAGAATTACCACTTATATAGCACTAAAGTATATGGCAGGTGTGTCCTAAGATAGATTACCTTTACATCACCTCATTAGGATAAGGAAACCGAGATACAATAAAGTGAAGTGATTTTTTTTTTTTACCCAACTAGTAAGTGAAAGAGTCAGAAATTGAATCCATGGAAAACTCTGTCTCTGAGTATATTGGCTATTTTGTTGTTTTGTTACTTAGCATCCATTTGTCCTTTTTCTGATAACAGTATTCTTCATCTACCCAGGGCAGGTGAGGCTACAGGGCCCGATGATCAAAGTGCTTGCCCTGTCACCAAAGAGGGGCCAAACAGCTGCTCTCCCTGGAGTTTAACCTTGAGCAATGAATGATTAAAGACCTGGAAATGTGTGGTGCTCATTCAGAGCTTCCCTGGGAGGACTCCTTTATTGCCCTGTTTACCATTTTTCCCAATTGGGCTCTTTTAGCCTTCCCTCCAACTCTACTGGTGGCAAGAAGACTCAGAGGCTAACAGGGAAGGGAGACTAGATGCCCACACCATCCTCACAAATTCCTTCTTTGCTTTAGTAGCCAGAATTAGTTTCTGTTGCTAGCAGTCAATGAGGTCTAACTGCCTATACCCAGGTCACCACCAAGTTTTTTTTAAAAAAATGCGTAAGACTGATGAATATAAAACCCAAGATTATGATAAACAATGCGTCAAAAAGATAGACTAGACATAGAAAAGAAAGTCAGTGTTTACATCTTAGCAACTCTTATTTTAGCTCTTAATTTGCAGTTTCAGGAGTGTTTGTTTTATTATTATGCTTCATAATTTACATATACATCCCGAATTCTTTTGTGTGTCAAGGATTACATAAGGAAGAAGTAAAGAAAGAAAAAGAGTGGATCATTAAAACACTGATTTGGAAGCCTGTATGTGGGCTGGACAGCTCGACTTTAGGTGACTGGGGGTGACCATCCCATATTGGGTAACCCAGAGATGGCAGAATTTAGAGGTCTTTTCTTTGATGCTTTAGAGCTTTCTAGAGAATTCCTCTGAATACCTGCCAGAGGATGAGGGTAAACTCTTACTTATTTAGGTTCTATTAGAGAAAACTGGGGAGGTGGCTTATATGTAGACCCCAAATAATCCTGTTTTCTACTGAAGTTTCCTCTGCCATACTCTCTGTCATCTTAGGTTAATTTTTTTTATTTTTTGTCAACATTTTAATGGAATCTCTGGGAGAAAGAAAATAATTACATGTGGTTAATTTACCGTTTCAACTGGAAGTCTGTTACAGACTGATTTATCAACTTTAGATACTCCCTGCCTTTCCACAATGGAAGATGAGGATTTACTCTGTTTCACAATTCTCTTCTTAAGCATCCTATATAATAAAAAGCTAATATGCAAATCGACTGAACAGCGGAATGACCAATCACTATGACACACACTGACCATGAGGGGACAGACACTCAATGCAGGAGCTGCCCCCTGGTGGTCAGTGCACCACTCAGCCAGAAGCGGGGCTCAGGGCTGGCAAGCCCTAAGCCATCAGTCGGACATCCCCTGATGGCTCCCAGACTGTGAGAGGGTGCAGGCCAGGCTGAGGAACCCCCCACCCCTCCCCTGACTGCACAAATTTCATGCACTGGGCCTCTAGTGTTTCATAATGATGTTGTTGTCAATTATACTCTTCGCTAATTTTCTAAATTAAGCTATATCTTCTTTTTGCAATTATGATCTTGATGATCACTATATAAGCTATGTTAATCTCCCATTTACCTTTCCTGTGTTGTTTGTATATAGTATTATTTTTGTTTCTCATTAATTTATTTTCCTTCTTGATAAAAGAATAATGTGCCTTATCATATCCTCAAAATTTTCCATCATATCAGTTCCCTAATAGTTGATTGGAATCTTCTTTTTCCTTGCAGAGTTCTACATCTTCCCAACCCAACCTCTATTAACCTTTTTCTAAGCATTGGGTTTTGTAAAATTTCTTTGAATCTGAAAATCAATTTCCTTTTCAGGTTTTAGGAAATTGTTTCATATGATTTTCTTGATAATTTTCTCTCCTCCTCATTTCTATGTTCTCTTTCTCTAAAGCTGTTAGTTGTCTGATGTTACACCTCCCAGTTTGACATTATAGGTCTCTCCACTCACACTCTAATATGTTTCCTTGTCTTTTAAAATATTTGTTCTTCTACATTCCAGAAAATTTTGTCACTTTGTTTTTCAAGGCTTCTACTTAATTTTTTTTCTTTTTGCAATTATATTTTAATATTTGAAAGGTTTTTCAAATTATCTGTGTATTCTTTTCATCCTGTTCTCATTTTATAAGAAATAACGTTTTCACTTATCTGAATATTCTAATTAGAAATTTTTCAAAGTTCTCCCTGCTTTTAAAAACATGTTTCTTTTCCTGTTAGCTTTCTTTTTTAAAAAATTGAGATATAATTGGCATATAACATTGTGTAAGTTTAAGGTATAAAATGTGTTGGTTTGATACACATATATGACAATATGATTACTACAATAGCATTAAACACTTCTATCATGTTACCTTTATTTCCTGTGATGAGAACAATTAAGATCTAGTCTCTTAGCAGCTTTGAACTTCGTGATACAGTATGTTGATTATAATGACTATGCTGTGCATTCGATCTCCAGAATGTATTTACATACTAGCTTGAAGCTTTCAACCATAAACATCTCTCCAATTTAGATTTGTGTTTTATTAACAGGTTGGAATCTTCTACAATCATCATCCATGGTTCTCTATTGCCTCATGACATGGTGATCTTTGGAGTATGTTCGTATTTAAGAATAAAATTCAGGGTAGCTGGTATAGGTTTTCTTTGCTGTGTTCTGGGAAGGTCTGTCTCCTCACTAGGTGTTCATCTTTAATGTGAAATATTTCTAGATATGTAGGTATTAAGTTATAGGTATTAACTAATACCTGGTATCTCCATCCGGGCTTTTTTTTTTAAAGCACATGTGTTGGGGGTTTGGCCTATGATTAGGCCTGTAGTCTCTCAAATGTACGAACAAATTGTTTTACTCTGGAAATAATAAGCTTACATATTTATTTCCAGATTTATCCACTTTAGGTAATAGTCCTTCACCTTCCCTGAAAGAGAGGTGAGACTTTGGCTTTTTCATTCTTCATCTGTTGAAATTTGTAAACTTACTAAAAAAGTTCTCTCTCTATTCCTGCTTCCCAAACCTGCCTCTCTTGTTTTCTGCTTTCTCTTATCCCACTAACCCTCATGCTGTTCTCTCATCACTCAGAACCCCCAATGGAGTTCAAGTTTCTTTACTGTTTACTACCCCTTTCTTTACAGAAAAAGACACCTGTCTTTTTCTGGGTAAAATTGTCTTAAGGAACTAGTTGAATTTAAGTTAATATGACAAATCATTTGTTGTTAACTGCTTCCCCAGGAAATATTTGCATTTAACCAATTCAGATCCCTGGTTCAATAAGGGGTGCACCTATGTAAGTAAAGGTAGATTTGATTATTTTAGATTCCAAGCAAGGTTTTTAGGAGATGTACTCTGAGAAACCGGGAACTGAAAGTAAGAGGTACGACGAATTTGGGGTGTATTCAGGATGCTGAAAGTAAAAGCAAATAAAGTGGCATAAACAATAAGGAAAGTCTAGTTTCTTATTTTATGAGAAGTCCCATGCTGGGCTACTTCAGAGTGTTTCAACAGCTCAGCATCATCAAGAAGCCAGTTCTGTAATCTCTCTTCTTGCCAACCTCAGGCCAGCATCTGCATGATCACAAGGTGGCTACCCCTGTTTCAGGAATAGAAGCTGTGTTTTTTTTTCTCTCTGTGTCTCCTTTTGATTAAGAAACCCTCTGATGTCTCTCAGCTGACTTCCTCTCTTTTCTCATTAATCAGCATGGAGCCATGGATCTTCTCCAGAGCCAATCACTGGCAAAGGGAATAAAATCACTAGGATTGGCTTGAATTGGTCAGGATGACTCCTGGGCCATGTGTATGTGTTGGGTTGGGGGTTGAAATTTTTAACAAAATTGGAAGTCTATAGCAAGAAAGAAGGGAGAACAGGTTTGCGGGCAGAGTTCAGTCTTAACCACTGATCTGTCAGAACCTTTCCCTTCAGTAGCCAGACAGGGTTGCATTGTAAGCTGAGTTGGAGATATGGGGAAGACATTTAGAATATGAACAATATATCATTGGTCAGAGTGGGAGACTAACGCTCTTCATAAAATTATTCATCCGTTTCAAAAGGGAACCAAGGAGAATTTTTTTCCTGCAGCTATGAAAGGAATGTCAATCTTCCTCCTACCTTTCTTGTTTCACTGCCGGTGAATTCCCGTGCATCTTCTCATACCACAGACTGCAGGCTGCCTA